TACATGATTCTCCCTCTGGAGAGCCGGGACTTATCCATCCTGGATATCTATTCCGTTGGAGCAATATCTCTCTTCGTTTCGGAGGCCACTATCCCCTTGGACTACTTCGATTCGCTGAACAAACAATGCATTGTTCTGCCTCCTGCAAACGCACTTGCTAGATTGCGACTCCACGTTAATACAACCCCTGCTACACCACTCAAGGCCTAGCAACATGCTGAACTTGCTGCACACTTCATCCTCCTATGGATGTATCCTTCACATGCCGAAGAGAAAGTTTCAATGCTCCTTGGCGTCGAATTTTGGTCACCTTGGGATGGCCACGAACATTTCATTGTTCGCATACAAGTCCTTGCATAAGTATCGAATTCTTCGAGTTAGCAATTCCCCTCACCTCTATGAGCTTTGCACAACTCTTTTGGTCGTTGAGCAACTCATTTCATCTTGCATGGTCTCATCCTTTACCAAGCGCCTCGCTTGCCTTGAGCACCATCAAGTGTAGTTGTCACCGTCGAGCCGTAGCCGAATATCTCTCACAAGTGTCCACATGATACAACCTTTATTTACAAGCCTAAGAAGGCCACCAAACCTAACTAAAATGGGACTTTTAAGCCTTTGACCATCCCTCTACATGCTGTGCAAAACATGAACATACCAAAAGACATAGACATACATAAGCATTACATCAAGCATCTTGTTTCGAAGTTTGTCCGTGATAAGGTGGTCCACCTCCAAAGCTTAAACAAATCTTAGAGCTCCCTATGAGATATCTAAAAATCCACTTCACTGCTACATAGTGCTCTTTGCTTGGATTTGCTAAAAATCTGCTAGTAACACCCACTGCATATGCGATGTCCGGCCTCGTACATACCATTGCGTACATGAAATTTCCAACTGTTGAAGCATAAGGAACCTTTTGCATTTTCTCCTTCTCCTAATCACTTAACGGACTTTGTTCTGAGCACAACTTGAAGTGACCTATAAGAGGAAAACCAACTGGCTTTGCATTGCTCATATTGAACCTTTCCAATACCTTCTCGATATATTTCTCCTGTGATAACCAAATTATCTTGGTTTTTCTATCACGGGAAATCTGCATGCCCAATATTTGCTTTGTTGGCCCAATGTCCTTCATTGCAAAAGACTCACTTAATTCCTTCTTCAACTTGTCAATTTTAGACATATATTTCTCAGGAAAAGTATGTCATTAGCATAAAGTAAAAGAATAATAAAATTCTCACCAAACCATTTGATGTACACACAATGATCTGAAGTCATTCTTTTGTATCTATTTTATGTCATAAATGAATCAAACTTTTTGTACCATTGTCTTGTAGCTTACTTTAGCTCATACAAGCTCTTCTTTAACTTGCAGATAATTATCTTTACCTTTGACTTTGAAATTTTATGGTTGCTCTATATAAATTTTCTCTTTCAAATCACCATGAAGGAAAGCTGTCTTCACATTTAACTGCTCAACCTCCAAGTCCTAGCTAACAACAATATCAAGAGCAACACTAATAGAAGACATTTTAACAACAGGAGAAAATATCTCTTCAAAGTCAATACTTTTCTTTTAACCAAAGCCTTTCACAACCAATCTAACTTTGTACTTTGGTTGAGAATAATATTCTTAAGTCTTCAACCTAAAAATCCACTTGTTCTTCAAGGCCTTCATTCCATTTGGTAGTAGTACCAAATTATAAGTGTGATTTTTCTGAAAAGCATCCATCTCTTCTTGCATAGCAACTAACCACTTCTCTTTCTACTCATTTTCAACTGCTTCCTGATAACTCTCTGGTTTACCTACATCAATAAGCATCACATACTCATCTTTAGAGTATCTTCTGGAAGGTTGACGTTGTCTAGAAGATCTTCTCAACTAAGGTTTTACGGGAAGTTACTCTCCAACTTCTTCTTGCTCAACATATCCTACAGGTAGATTAACATCAAGCTCTACACCATCTTCATGCACATCTCTCCCATCACTCTGATATACTGGACGAGTAACTAGGTCACAATTTGCTAATCCTTCTGCAAAAGTCTTGGCTAGTGTCTTCTTCTTCAAATCTTCAAAGGTTTGATCCTCAAATAAGATTACATCTCTGCTTCTAAACACCTTCTGCTTTTCTGAATCCCAAAGCCTATAACCAAAATGATCATGTGAGTAACAAGACAAATACATTCTTTAGTCTTACCATCCAGCTTTGATCTCTCATTGTATGAAATATGTGCAAATGCACGATAACTAAACACTCTTAAATGTATGTAGGAAACATCTTTCCCTGACCATACATGCTCTACAACATCACTATCTAGGGTTGTACATGATGACAAGTTGATTACATCAACTGCGGTCCTCAAAGCCTCATCCCAAAACTTTTTGGGTAGCTTGGCCTGTGAAAGCATACATATGATCTTTTTCATGATAGTGTGGTTCATCCTCTCTGTAATATCATTATGCTGAGGTGTACCAGGAACTGTCATCTCATGTTGGATCCTACGTGACCTGTAATAATCATTAAATAATCCTGTGTACTCACCATCATTATTTGATCTTATGCATTTCAATTGCCTTTTTGTCTCCCTTTGAAGACAGTAATCACATGATCTTTGGTTTTCAAAGTATAGGCCTAAACTTTCTCAGAAAAACCATCTATAAAAGTGACAAAATAAAGTACACCACTTATACCAGGAACATCAACAGATCCACCAGAAGTTTTTGTCCTCAAAGGATCACATACATATGTATAAACACAATCTAAGACATGCATTTTTCTAGATAAAGCAGGACTAACAAATAAAACTCTGTGTTGTTTACCAGCCAAATAATTAATACAAGGGTTCAAATGTGTACCTTTGAGGTCTGGCAATACCTCTCTCTTGGAAAGAGCTTGCAGCCCCTTCTCGCTTATGTGTCCTAGTCGCCTATGTCATAACTTCATGCTGAAGTCTTTCTTTGTAGCATTTAACTGCTCACCACAAGTTTTGACCTGCAACATGTACAAGGTGTGACATTTTTTTTCATTAGCTATAACAAGAGAGCCCTTACTGAGCTTCTATTGCCCTATGTAAAATCTGTTATTATAGTTTTCATCATCTAGTCTTCCAACTAAAATTAAATTCAACCTCAAGTCAATCACATGCCTCATATCCTTAAGTACCAACTTACAGTCAAGGTTGGTCTTTAAATGGATATCACTCATGCCAATGATGTCTACTGTGCCATAGTTGCCCATCTTAATAACACCAAAATTTCTAGACCTGTATCTAGCAAAAAACTCCCTCCGTGGTGTAGAATGATAAGAAGCACATATGTCAATCACCCACTCAAGATCCTGATATATACAAAAAAAAATATCATCAGAAGGAGACAAAATCAAATAATTACCACCATGCACTGTAGTTATGATATTATCTTTTGACTCTGCAGACTTCACTTATTTTCTTTTTTTTCTTGTCCTTTTTAGGTTGCTTACATTGGTTCTTGTAATGTCCTTTCTCACCACAGTTATAACAAACAATATTTTTTCTTGATCTTGACTTGCTACTACCCATATATGTGAACTATTTTTAGATTAAGTGATTGTGAATCATTCTAAGATGTTGCTGAATTTTTTCTTCTCAACCCCTTATTCAACAAACTACTTATTACTTGAATTACTAAGGGAAACCACTAGTATCTCCCAACTTTTTGGTAATGAATTGAGAAGTAATAATGCTTGTAACTCATCATCAAGAGACATTTTCATAGAGGATAACTGGTTAATGATACTCTGCATTTTATTTAAATGCTCAACAATATAAGCACCCTCTCTATATTTTAGGTTCACAAGTTTTTTTGATCAAAAAAACTTTGTTTCCAATTGTTTTTCTTTTATAGAGACTTTCTAATTTTTTTCACAGAGAATATGTAGAAATTTTAGTAGAAACATGGTAAAGACACTATCATCAAGCCATTGTCGAATAAACATAACTATTTTTCGATCTAACCTCTTCTACTCATAATTTGTCATAGTTGTGGGTTTTGCACTATCCCCCTGCAAAGGTCTATACAAATTTTTGCAATACAAGAGATCTTCCATTCTTGGTTTCCATATCATCCAATTGTTTCTATTTAAATTAATCATGCGAGAAACACTATTAGCCTCCATGTTCTAATACAAAATTAAATCACTAAAATCCTGTTTTGATACCAGTTGATGAGATATAAAGAGAAATAACTTTTGTATATGAACAAATACTAGAAGACCATAATACGCAGCGAAATTAAATGAAACCACAATAAAATAGAATACCAAAATATACGTGGAAAACCCATTCAATATGAAGAGTAAAAATCATGGAGCAAACTAAAGATAATCCACTATAATAATAATAAATATACAAATATCAATCTCTTGCCTAAAACCCTAGCAACAATAGAATAACTGAGATATAAGGAACATGTCACTGTGCACAATATCTAAATCCTCCCTAATTCTTCCCAAGTAATCATAATAAGAATCTATTGTAGATCTGATCTAACGTGAGATGAAAGCACTAGTAAATGATTGAGAACAATCTCTCTGTATTAGCTGGTAGACCGTGACGTCAAAAGAGGATGAGCTATTAGCTGATAAACCTGTTGGATCTGCAAATACCTTAGTACAATTAGATAAAGCTTTCAGCTGGTAGACCACGAGCATTTCTCATGCGATTATGCAACTTCTGAGACTTCCACATCTTTAAAGGATATCCTTGCTCCCTGCAATTGTCACAAAACAAGCAGATTCATCTTCCAGCAAAAGCATGCCTTGTCATGGACGTTCATGGAGGCAGGCACGGAGAAAGCAGGGATCAACGGAGGGGGGTCTCCACACTCGGCTTCGTCTTGAGGTTGGTGGGACGGCAGCATGTCCATTTGGACGATACTGTTTTTGCATTGCATTTACAGAGACCAGTGGAGTCCATCTGTCTGCAGTTTCTTTGTGGCGATATGAATACACATCACAGTTGGATTAGAACACATGAAATTAATCAAATCATCACAGAGTATCCGATGCTTACAGGACTGCAATTGTGGATGATAAACTGCATTCTGGTGTCAAATGCATTATTATCTCAATTACCTGCGTGCAACTGTTCACTGTGGTCTCCATGTACAACATGTGAAATCAGATATTGGGAGAGAAGGTGCGTGCAGGTGTTCTATTTAGATTCCCAGAAGATGATTTCACCTTGCTGCCCAACCAGTCCCAGATCCTTGAGCCTCCTCTCGTGATAATACTCCAAAATATCCAACTCGGACTCTCTCTCTCGGAAAGCACCATCGATCTGCTGGAGAACTTTCTTCTCGCCAGCTCTTACACAAACTGCGATTCGAAGTCTTTCATCCAAATTATCCCCTTCCATAAGTTTTTCATCCTGTTCATTACATCAACATGCTTAGTCATGTATATAAAGACGGTTATCATGTAAAAAACCAAAAAAGTAAATTAAAACACAGTAATACAAAAGGAAACCAAAAAAATGTAGCATAGTCAAATCTACTATTATTTTTTTTTCTAGTTCTTTATGTTACTCGAGTATAATCAATCAATAATAGCATTCCTCAGTGTTGGTTTTGTTGAATGGTGCCTATCATGTACCATAACTTTGGAATAACATGAGCGCTGTTGACCTTTTCTCTTTAGTTTGCAAAAGGTCAGCGGTGAAGGTCGGTATCCTACAATTGTTCCAACATATAATTATGATGCGATTGTTAAGGATTCACTGTACACTTGTAATTTTATTATATATTCAATAGGCCCCACATATAGGATGAATGTACAGTCCCAGCTTAGTAGAAAAGATTTTTAAGTTGTTTTAATAGTTCAAAGCTAAATAAATGCATACCTCCTCTACGGTAGTGTGGTAGACAGAGAAAGCAGATTTGCAGGCCTGTCTGACAACATGGCAAATGGCTTCCTCATTGGCACGACTCACCGGCAATTCCAGATGACCCCAAATTGTGTTTCTGAAAACCGATTCTAAGAGAAAAGTATCTGCTCCTCCAAGAGCTACCAACCGCAAATATGGAAGCATCAATGGGGGTAGAGGGCACCCTAGAGCTATATCAAAGTATGCAGTTTCATCTAAACCATTTGACTCTGCAATGTCTAGTTTGTCTCCATAAAATGGATCAGATTCACCAATCTCTAGTGTAAAAGTATATGCATCCCAATCTGGCCTCTGTTCAACAAAGCCATAATCAAACGCCAAGTCGGCATTACTCTTCGCGATGTCATACTGGATATACACCTGAGTATATTTATCATGATAAGCATGAGTTGAAAGGCTGCTTGTATTAATGCAAACAATTTGCTCAGATCCACACCCATCTTTCCCCGCATAGGAATCTCTATATGATAAAATTGAATACAGAGGTTATACAATGAATCTCACCTGCTCACCAGATTTCACATGGACTGGTGTTCGTAAAGAGAACATCAGTTCCCTAGAAAAGATGCCCTTTCCTTTAATTTCCCAAGAAGAATCCTCTTGAGTGATACTGGAACTGTGGTTAATCTGGGAGAGAAGAGCAAAAGATAATAAACTGAAACTCAAATGTCAAGATGGTAAGTACAATGAAGAAAGTGTAATATGATGATCATTTAGCTGGCAACTCATTCAAGTGGAAAAAGTTCGTGGAAATATTTAGGCATTTTATTCATTACATGGCTGATCACTGCTTGTAAAATATAAACCAGGCCAGTTATAGCTAAAAAGTTTAATTTACACAAAATCTAGTTTTACATTTAGTTTATATACTTTTTCTTCATAATTAGTTTAAGGTGGTATGAACATGCTTAAAGAGTTCTGCAGATGCACAAGTGGTGCAAGGATAAACATAGGAAGATGACAAAGCACTTCGCTAGAAACAACAAAAAGAAATCTGGTTCTTTTGACCAGCAATACTGCCATTAACAGAGTCAATTGTGCGAAAACACGTTGTAATCAAATTAGCTTAGCTGGGAGTTGTAGGTGTAAATGACATCATGACCATTCAAAATCACCAGGATGAGGATGCGGTCAAATACGTATTGTAGGTGTAAATGACATCATGACAAAGCGGTCCCAGTTGTGATAAATGAATTGCATGGGGTACTAAAACAATAACTTCATGGAGAGATATTAGTTTAGTACTTGAACAACATGGATGTTGAAGTAATAACTCCATGTGTAATTATATCAAAAGCGTAGTAGCAGTCTAGGAACCTCGCATAAGGAACCCACTTCATGCATTTATGATTATGATCAGCATATTGGAATCTGGACAGCAAAAATTTGGAACTGAAATTCCATGTATCATAAACCATACCCCGTAAAATAAGAGATTCAGCATTTCTCTGTAATTAGGTCTACAAAGATAGATTATAAACCGAATCATAAAAAGTTAATCAAATTTATATATTCCTGTCTTGATGCTCCCAACGTTCTAGGCAAAGATTGGCTTGATTACAACCCTACTTGGCACTTGCTGCCATTACATTTTTACAATTATTGCTTCCTCAAATCCAGATTTGCATCAAGATTTATATCACTACCTCTTTAAGTTTCTTATATCAAGTGATTCAAACGGCATGTCAGCATGAAATAACCAATTAAAGGCTTGAAGATTTCTGCTAATTCTTTTATTTTCATCGAAGTTAATTGCAAGCTAATTCTATAAAAATTGAAAGTTCAGGAGTGATTTTGAATTTCAGAATTCAAATTTAGCGTATTATGCAAGTCAACAAATATCTACATGCCATTGAATTAAATGTCAAAATTCCATATCAACATTGTGGACAAACAATAAAAAACATACTTTTAAATAAGGATTGAAATTTCATACCGTACCGATGTATCGAACTTTGGTTGGTATGGTATAGTACGAGAGTACCAAACGATACATACATACATACATACATACATACATACATACATACATACATATATATATATATATATATATATATATATATATAATATAATATAATATAATATAATATAAAAAAATCTAAAAGGGAGGCGTATGCTGCCTCGGCGATGTTGCCTTCTCCTCTTCTCCTCGTCACCTCAGATGAGGAGAAGAATGCGGTCTCCTTCATCTCCTCATCTACGGCGTTCGACGAAAAAGGTGACAAAGATGTTGAAGACCACAGACATCTCCGACCTTCGACGAAGAACACGGTGAAGGCTGTAAATGTCTCTGGCCTTCGACGAAGAAGCTGTAGAATCGCAAACAAGGCGACGCAGGAGACCGCCTCTTCCGCTGCTCTAGTCGCCGCCTGGCCATTATCTTCTGGATCAGGATCGTCGAAGGAGGGCGACGCTGGATCGGGATGCGCCGTGGTTCTCTCGATTCTCCCTCTTCTTCGAACGCTCTCTCTTTCTTCTTCCTTCTCCCTCGATGCTTCTTCTTCCCTCGCTGCAGCCAGGCTGATACCGCCCAGTAACGAGCGGTCATGGTCGAAATCGACCGTTACCGACTTGTTTTGGGTAGTAACGGTCGAAATTTCGACCATAACCGCCCGATACAACCACGTATCGTCCGATACGAGGCCATATCAAGCATTTCGTCTGGTAGTGAACGGTCTGCATATCGGTCTATTGGCAGACCAGTACGTATCATTCAAAATTTAGAACCTTGCTTTTAAAGATCCACTACGTTTAGACAACAAAACGAAGCCCATAATATTTGTGATAATAATTAACCTACTATAACTTTCATCAAGTTGTATTATAAAACTATGAAGATCTTACAAGATCAGCCAATGGAACAAGAGCAAGGTTTTCACCACGACCATGTGAAAAGGCCCTTGATCTGAGCATTCCGAAAGCCCACAGAAAATCAAGTGATGTTATAGCTGAAGGAAAGAGATGTTTGTTTGGAAGTATCACTTCTGCTTCTGCTTTGACAAATTCACTTTCCACATACTCTTTAGCACCCATCGTCGTGCTCAATAACTGAGTTCCTGCACAAATGCACACACAAATACAAACACCCACCATCTTAATACGAAACATCAAAGCTGATGGAAGTAAAGGGAAATCAGCATACATCATGTGGGAATCATAGAAGCAGAAAGTAGAACAGAAGGCACAGATATACAATAAAATGTATGGACAGCTGAAATATTTTTCTTAGGACATGCATTATAAAAGCCACATTTACTCAGAATCTTGTTCTGTTAGCTCTTTGATGATCAAAACATTTATTTGGCTAGCCTTTATTCATGTGGTATGTGTTTCATAATCCACAAGCTCTCTTCAGCTATTTTGTAGTCTGCACAATTCTTCTGTCCTACTTCATTATACAATCCACACCAGCCCTCTACCTCACCATATGGAAATGGCAGAATACAGTATTCGGTAAACCAACTTCCTTTAAAATCCTTCGCTGAAACTAAAGGGCATCAGCATATGATTGAATGCCACTGTAAGTCAAAAGATCAAGCAGGTCACTGAAGGTCTGGACACACTAATTTTTATCCATGTGAGACTACTATTCTCAAGTAACTTCCAGTATAAAACATTTACCTCACCTGCAAAGTATCAATGTATGCACCCAAACAAAGATAAATACAGACAGATGCAGGAAACAACAAACATTGCTTTAAGAAGAATGATTCATCTTACCTTCTATTTCAGAAAGCTCCTCTTCTGACCTGCACCGGCAACATCAAATGCTGCTTAATAATTCGATTGTACAAGACAAAAGAATCTTGCTTTGAGGAATTTCACAGAGCGGTCGGGTGGGAGTAATTATGTGAAGCAAAGCCAAAATCGATGATTTGTCGGAACGGGTTCTCGCACTTACCAGAAGATAGTGGAATTGGTAGTGGGCGGAAGAATGTCGAGATAGGGGTGCCAGGGAGAGGCCGTGCCCAGGGCCCTCTCCCGCAGGAGGAAGAGGGCGATGGAGACCCAGGGCTTGAGGCCGGTGCACAGCCTCCCGATCTCGGAGGCGACCACCGTGTCGGAGTCGATCCAGAGCCTCTTGGGGACCTCCACCACCACCTCGTTGCGGGTGAGGTCCCTCTGGGCCACGAGGCCCAGGCCCTCCGGCACGAAACCAGGCTTAACGGTCGCGGCGGAAGAGGCGGCGACCGCTCCCCGCTCACAAAGCCACCGCCAGAAGTCATCGACGGCGGCCTCCGACGGGGGGTCGCGCTGCGCAGCGGCGGTGCTGATCCTTCTGCTGCTACAGCCGATGTTGAGGACAGGTAGGGGCGACGGCTTGCAGTTGGCGAGGAGGAGGGACGACGAGGTCGGGTAGACGAGGTGGAGAAGAAGACGCGGCACCGCCATCCGCTGCAAGAACGAAGTGCAACGAGAGGGAGTCGCAGCAGGAGCAAAGAAGCGCGGGTTTAGAAGGTGAAGGCCGACCAACCATAGGCTACAAACCCAACGGATAGATACGAGGAACAACTAAATCCCCTCCCCGCATCATTCATGCACTTCATATTTTTCCTCTAATTCTTTAATTTTTATTATTTAAAATAAAGAATTTTAGACATGGAAGCATCGCTACGATTGAGGCTATAATTTATGCACAGTGAAGCATTAAAGCCTTTTTGGACGTACAATTTGCATAGAAACATTAATCCATGAGCTTCCACATAGGCTATTCATATTATCTATGATTAAGGCTATAGTTTATGCAAACTGAACTATTTATAATTGCACGTACAATTTGCATAGAAACATTAATTCATCAGCCTCCACATAGGCTATAAATATCGGGGAAGGAAAAAGTGAGGATGCTGTTAGATTTCTACAAAGCAAGAATGATAATATGACCGTCAAATTGGTCTGGAAAATGAAAAATCACATATACCCCTCGATCAGGGATCAAATACTTATAACAAAATGAACTCATTTTTTAGCATGAGTTAAACTGACAAAAAAGTTGTACAACTATTTATATGAATAATAGACGCAAAGATCAAAATTTTCAGACTCATTGGGTTCGCTTATTTTGCCATCATGTGCAGTAATAAAACAAGCCAACCAAAACGCAGTACTTTTCATCATATAATGACAAAATATGAATGTTTTTAGTAGAATTCAACAGTCGGTTCAACCAACACTTGAATGTCACAAGTGAAAAGACTGTACCTGCTCCTCTCCTCTTCTAAGTGCTTTAAGTTTATCACCAAAGCATTCTTTCTTAACCATGGAACAACCAGCAAATTTCTTCCTCAAAGCAGTTTCACATAACAGACCAAACTAGGGTTTACTCGGAGACTCTTCTGCATAGTTTACATATCTCCAAACTCCATGCAGTAGCAGTCTTGCTTCATCTAAATCCTCGGGGGTTGATTAACAGATGATACCAGTTCCTCCCATCTGAAGCAGCTGTTCTACACCAAAACTATTAATTTTTCCTCCCTTCACAAAGAATGATGTGGTAACCATGCCTGCATTATTTCCAATATATGATTATAAGCACAAGCAAGCAAATACAACTTAAAACATGAGCATATTTTTCAGTAATCATTTCCAAATCACCAAGAGTAACAACATCCAAACTAAATATGTCAAACTCGTAGCACAATAAACATGTAGAGGGTTGGGTGATGAAATACGCGAAGAATAGTTTTATAGACATACGTTGATTTAAATGGCGCACTAGTAGCTCCAATAGGTGTACTAAATGCGGCATCCTGAAAAGGACCAGCCATTTTTCCCCTCAGAAACCATCCAAGGTCTCCACCTTCATTTCCTGATGGACACTCGGAATATTCTGTTACCACCTGAGACAGACAGCCAGCACAAGGCAAGGGAAAACTAATTTCTTCCACATATAATTCACCCAAAAAAAACAGATAAATCTTCTAAAGACCTATAATTTCATGCAGGTTCAAGGTTTAAGTTCAAGAAAATTAAACTGCAAGATCAATCATTCCCTGAAAGTGCAAGTCAACATGAAGAAAATACATACTTCAGTTCAACATAACAGTACCTAAAAAATGAAAGTGAAAATGAAAATAAAAGAACAATAAACCCACTAAAAAAATAAAAAGAAAAGCAGAACTGAGAGCACATGTTGTAGGGAATAATAAAATAAGGATCTAGATTGTATCACAATGCTCTACCAATCATCATGCCCATAGCTAAACTCACAAGATTCTGAAACAATCTCAGTGGACAGAACAGAGAACCTACCTTTGCAAATTCAGCAGGGGGAACCTTGTCTCCATTGCTTAGCCAGCCATCTTGGAGCTTCTTGTATGCTTCATTAATCTTGCCTTGTTTTTCACATAATATGTGCCTTGCTGAAACACAATCAATGGTTTAATTTAGCATATATAATCTCTGTGGGCACTCCTTGGTACATGAAATGTAATTCAATGGCTAAACCTGTCACCAATTTGGACACAACAGGTATCTAGTTCATTGTTAAGCATACACAGTTATAATATGATGCAAAGATAGGAAGAATTAACCTATTCCATTAATTTCGGAGCACATGAGACCATCTTTGGTGCCCCAAGATTTCACTCTATAAAGTAGCTAGCTTCCTTGAATGTGCTTCAATCAAATAAAACTAGAATTAGTCAAATTCAATCATGAATTCAAGAAATGGATGACAAAGGTGAGCAGCAATTCTGCACCTTCTTAAATTTCATAATATTTGGATCAGCTTTGGGATTGATAACACAATCCAGAATCTAAACCAGTCTCAATTGATTGGATCAGGTAAATCAGATCGTGGGATTGTTTTTCCCATTGATTTTCCTTTTCCTTTCTTTTAGATGGTCGGATTTTTGCCAAATCTTTTCAGCAAGCTGTTGGGAGTTGGTGGAAAATTGGCCAAGATTGGTGCAGAACAGAATGAGTCATTCTGGCTTCCAGTACCTAGCCTGATACACAAAATCAATCAGAAATTAGACAGAACCAACTCAGGATTAGCTGGTTTCAGGTTATCATGATTGTTTGGAAATGAAATTAGTCTGACCCAATCAGGATCGATCGAGTCGAACAGAAATAATCTGTCTTGTTAATCCATGAATGGGGACAGGGCATTTGCAAATAGATAGTGCAATTTATTGGTGCCTTGAAGTAATCTGCATGACATTATCTGAAAGGTGCTAGGCTTAATAATATCATAATTTTGAATGAATCAAACACTAAAATCAACTGATTGCAAAGGAAATTATGATAAAGCGAAACCGTGATCACAAGAGATAACACAACCTTTAACATAAGTGCAGGTACCAAGCCCATCACTGGACTTGCCACCCTTCCCTTTACCCTTGGAGGCATTATCATCAATTGCGGAGGAAGCTGCTTGTTTTCCGTTCCCCCTTCCCACCTGATTCCTTGGGTTTCGAGTCCCTCCCCATTAGCTGCCAATGCTATACAGCAAAGAGGAAACACAACTACCCTCTTAGATCAAATGGAAGGTGCAGGAACAAGCGAGTCGTAACTGTTCGCAACGTAAAACCGCAGCCAATGCAAATCCGATCCAAGCAAGATCAGCCCCAAGAACAACAAGAATCAAAGGTGGCGGAAAAAGGCCAAGAAAATTACAGAAAACGGTGTCCAACCCACTCGGGGAGTTCGAACAAAGAAATCAGTTCTCCGAACAAAAGGGGATAAGTAATCAAAACACCGTGCCGTGGGGCATCATCAACAGTGAACAAAGTGGAATTCAAGATCAGCACCAAGAACAACAAGAATCCAAGGCGACGGCGAAACAGCCAAGAAGAATCACATAAAGCAAGATCAAACGCAAACAAGGGAAGAAAAGGACGAATCTACGGCCAACCCAAGAACCTATGAGGCGAATCCGAGGCAGATTGAAGCCTTACCTCGAAAAC